CTTCCATATCAGCTTTGAATGAACCCTGAAAACTCATATTGATAAACCATGCAAGGATAACTTGAACAGGAAACCGAACACTACTTCAGATGAAGCAATAAAGATCAATCGGCCAAGCCAATACTTACACTAAACAATGGATTAATATCACTGAAATATCCCGTGAAAGGAAATACTTCGGCCACTAGTCCATCCTTTTCTATCGCACATTTCTCCATAAACTCGTCCCATGCGCGACATACCTAAACGAAAAGACCAACAATGTGGTAGAGCAAAAAAATAACCATCATGTCGGATTCGATGCTTTAGGTGAGGGGGGGGGGAAGGGGCGGACAGCAACTAATAACTATATGAAGTCTAATCAGGTGAAGACCAAAAGGCCTCACTGCGCTGGCAAGGTGTTTCTTGAAAGGAGCAGAAAGATCACAGCTCAGAAAGACCGGCAACTTCCCTTTGCGACTGTTCTCGACTCAGCGAAAACATCAAAGGACCTTAAGAAACGACATAAAAAAGAGGGGATTCAACGAAGATATACTCAGACTCTCGAAAATTAAGGTAAGGTAAGCTCTCAGGCTCAGCAGCTCTACTGGTAAGCTCTCTGGTTCTTAGTCCATTCGAAAACATGATCATGGTCTAGGGGAGGGGAGAACCTCACCAAAGAAACCTAAAGGGAGAAGCACAAGCCCCTCTTAAAGATAGACCCTGCGATTACATATTGTGGATAGTGAAGTGCAGTGACGAACCTATAGTTGCCAAGTGACTGTCCAGGGAAGGAAATGCAAGAAAATCATGGAGAATCACGTAAGGACCCCCGGCAGCCTCATTGTGAGAGTTCTTCAGACCTGTTCGAAAGCGATATCCATGCCCCCTACGGCTCACTGACCCGTTTGCTCGCATCATCCAATGCTTATACCATTTAACAAGTAAAAAAAATGAAAAACACGGTGTAAAAACCGAAATCGTGGCAGGAAGTAGCCATTGAGGCTCGGTGGGCGGTACAACTAGGGACGCGCCAAAATGCAGCTTGTGAGGGCCGTAGCGACTTCGCTTCTTACTATGAGGCCGCGGAAGTGCAACAATCCCAGACAATGCAGACCAGACTTTTGAACAAGGATGGACACCTACGAAATGAGCGTGAGAACTGTCTTTGAAGACAAGAACGTAATTACAGTGAATAGTAACAAACTTACATTGAAGCGGAAGAAATGTCCAGCATTCTCACAAGTGTAGGACACGTCCCCGATAACTTTCATCGCATGTTGAAGACGTTCTACCTTAAGAAAAAGATTTATAGTATTTATCATTTTATAGAAATTTATAGTTTCAAATCAAGTGCCAATCACCTCTGAGAGTAGCCTCAATCGCTCCCTGAGCACGTGATTGACACGAC